TTGTGTGTGTGTGTGTGTGTGTGTGTGTGTGTGTGTGTGTGTGTGTGTGTGTGTGTGTGTGTGTGTGTGTGTGTGTGTTATGTGTGTATGTGTGTTCTGTGTGGGTGTGTGTGTGTGTGTGTGTGTGTGTGTGTGTGTGTGTGGTGTGTGTGTGTGTGTGTGTGTGTTACGAATCTCTTAATCGTGTTTATACCTACCCACCTATTTATCAAATTATTTACCTGTGTCTTAAGAACGTAGGAACAAGAATATACAGAAAAACTACAGCAGGTCTACTGCCCCATGCTAGGTAGGTCCTTCTCACACTCAGGGTTTCCCATTCATGTATTTAATGTTTTTAAAGCTACCCAAAGAGTTAGTTTCAATGACTCTACATGGCAACTGGTTCCATTAATTCTTACCTGGAGGAAAATTTGGAGGTCGTCTTCCTGGAGCGAATAAGACTATGAGGAGGAAGAGGAGGAGGACGAAGAGAATAGTGCTCTCCCATCCTGCTAACATTCCCTTCCACTCAAACATCCTGTCTGTCAAAACAAAAAAAGATAGTTACATATGTATCTGTCTGTTGAGCAGACGACTTAGTACCTCCGGTGAGCAGACGACTTAGTACCTCCGGTGAGCAGACGACTTAGTACCTCCGGTGAGCAGACGACTTAGTACCTCCGGTGAGCAGACGACTTAGTACCTCCGGTGAGCAGACGACTTAGTACCTCCGGTCAACGAAGTGTTGGACATCTCTAGCCTTTTTGCCAAGTATAGCCAACATCGCATTTATCATTATCAAAAACTTGGTAGCACTGAGAAACAAACAACTTAAGGAAGCCAGTGTTGACATCTATACCATTCATATAGAAGATGCGACAACTATATACGTAGAGAAGACTTTTAGAGGCTTGGAATGACGTACTCGTCACAGAGACGATTTATACAAGTCCCTTCATCCATTTCACGAACTTCAAGGACTCCAGCCCTGCGCGCCGCAGTTTAGTATCTACTCTTATTCCCACTGCCAGCACCATCACAGAGAATTCTGGCAGTTTCATGATTTCTGATATTCTCTTACGGTTCATCGTGACCAACAGGCACAGCTTTCACTTAGCTCTCTCCTCCACATGCAGCACATAAATAACATGGGACCCATTATTTTATTTCATTTCTCAGTATTTCGTAGTTGTCCAGAATATTAAGCATCGTGTAAGAGAAAAGTCTCTGATAGTGTTTAATCTCTTTCTTACATGTTTTCTTCTTATAAGCAAATTAACACTTGCAAAGTCCAATAACAATTCAAATCATTCTCCAACATAGAGATCACTGCTAAAGTTTTTAAAGCAGGGGTTGTTAACTGGAGGTATCCATACCCCATAGTGGTATTGGAACCAAATAATGGGATATGGGACTCCATCTATGAACATTTTAAAAATAATCTGTTGTTAAATTAGAATATACTATCAGCTGCTGTATTGCTGGCTATCCATATGTAAAGTAAAAACCAAGCTATTGATATCTTTTGCAGCCATATTGGTACTTTATAGGACTGGTGATGGTGGGGATGATTTCCACAGTCTGGTGACGGGGCTGTAGCAACGTGTTGGGCACTCCATTGGAGTCCGTAATCGTAGAAAGGTTAAGAACCCCTAAACTTCTGTATTAAAACACGGAAGAGTTCAAAAGAGGCAAGACCAATTATATATATACTACGTGACTCACGAAATCGTAATGACACGATTGCAAACAAACCATGCCACGGGCGGGGATAGAATCGCGATCAGAGAGTCTCAAAACTCCAGCTGGTCTAGTGGCTAACGCGACGGTCTGGAGTTTTGAGACTCTCTGATCGTGGGTTCTATCCCCGCCCTTGGTATGGTTTATATACTACGTGATTTAACAGGAAAAAAAAACCACCTAATTCCACATAAAATTGACAATAGACACTTACGCATTTCATCAACATCTTAGTAAGATACATTAGTGTTGAAAATTTAAAGCCAATCAGAATATTCGTTTAAAAGTAGTCAGATCCATTCCAAGAATATTGGGATGATCTGCTTACCATTAACAATTTCTCTTGTTTGGTAACCAAGCGTTGAAAAATTTGAAGCCGATAGATGCCCAGTCAGGGATACCAGACTAGAAACGAAGTCGAGACCTCAAAGACAAAGACAGAAATGTCAAACGAAGTCAAAATAAATAGGTATATAGGAATATATAAAACTAAGAAGCAGGAACGGTGACCTGATCCGGAGTATATAAAGTAGATGTGGAGGCAGATTATGTATAAAGACAGAGTATGTATGACAATATACATAGGCACGGAAAGAAAAACATAATTATAGTTATGGAAACCTTAAGCCAGGAAGAGACAGAGAAACGAAAACAGAAACATGGCTATGGAGACAGAAACTGATACAGAAATAGGCACAGAGACGGAGACAAAACCGAAAGACTGATACCTCCGGGAAGATAGTTGATTTGTGTCGACCTGAAACCTCTTAGAGAGACA